TAGTCTCCTGTGTTCTCCCTCTTGCCTGGCAAAAGGAATAAAGCCACACTTTCTATTTCTGTCAAACTCTGTCTGCTTATTTCTATTCAGCATCAATGGACAGGGAGTCAGGATTTTGACAACATTTGTAACTTGGTGGTCCTTGGTGAACCTAACAAGAGCAGTATCAGTGGAGTAATGGGAACTAAAGGTCAGTCAGTCAGTCAGTTCAGTCGCTCAGTTGTGTCCGACTCTTTGAGACCCCGTGAATCACAGCACGCCAGGCCTCGCTGTCCATCACAAACTCCCGGAGTTTGCTCAGACTCATGCCCATCGAGTCGGTGATGCCATCCAGCCATCTCATCCTCTGTTCTCCCCTTCTCCTCCTGCCCCCAATCCCTCCCAGCATCAGGGTCTTTTCCAATGAGTCAACTCTTCGCATCAGGTGGCCAAAGTATTGGAGTTTCAGCTTCAGCATCAGTCCTTCCAATGAATACCCAGGACTGATCTCCTTTAGGATGGACTGGTTGGAACTGAAGGTAGACTGCAGTAAACTGACGAGAAAATGAGAGAAGAAGAATGAAGATGGTGAGCGAATATGCCCTAGGAATGGAGAGGTAGTTGAAGCAGAATACAAAGTTGAGGCAGTTTCATTTTGCTTTGTTTTTAAACATGGGAGATAATACAGAAAATTTACAGTATTCGTTTACGGCAATGGTTCAAGAAAGAGAAATAAACTTACCAAATCCCAGTCCCCTCTGCTTGTTACTCTACAGGCAAATAAATCTGAGAGACCAGGTGTTGAGGCAAGAAATAGGACTTTATTCAGAAAGCCAGCTGACCAAGAAGATTGCAGACTAATGTCTCAAAATAACCATCTTATTGGGGTATGGATGACAGAACATACATCTCTGTTCTTTTATAGAACAGAGATGGGGGCGAGGAAGGAGGTGAAGTGAGAAGGTAAAATGTAAAAGGCCATTAATCTTACAAATATCTCCTGGAATGGCAAGCCTCAGGGAGGAGATGAGTTAATTTCTTCCTTTGTGGGAGACAGCAATAGGTGGACACGGTCCTGAACAAAGGCATTTTGGTTAAACATTCAGGCAGAGGAGCAGGGTTCCCCAAAGCCAGCCATTAGGTATGAACAGTGTCTTTTTAGAGATCAAAAGCAATGGGAAGCAAGGTTAAAGTAAAAGAAACAGATCCGACATGAAGTCAGTTCTTCCCTGTAACAAAACTGATGATGTAGGAAGAAGAGTGTCAGTAGGTTGGCTTTACTGTGCACAGGCAAGCAGACCCAAGTCTGCTTTGGTAAAAGTTTTACAGTTATGTGAGCTCATCTGGGGTGGATATCCAAGACTGCTCACTCACATGGCAGAGAATTGATGGTAAGTGTCAGCTGGGAGCTCTGCTAAGTTGTTGACTACAATGCCTGCTTGTATAGCACAACTGTTTTAGAGCAGTCACACTTTTTACTGGTGAATGACTTAACACAGAGTAGTGGGCTCAAGAGAATCACAGGGAAGTAGCACAGCCTTTTCTGACCTACTTTCAGCAGTCACTTCTCTCAGATTCGATTGGCTATCAGTGAGTCATAAGACCTGCCTCCTAAAGGAGATGATACCATTTAGACTCACGTGTGAAAAAGTCACCCTGAGAAAAAGCAAATGGGATGGCAGATATTGTTGTTGGAAAATAAACTTTGCCATACACATTTTAAAAATTATTTTTAATCATTCTTCAGTGTCGTGTTCCATTTCCTGAGAAATATTAATAATGATACAAAAAACAAACCCCACAATGTGTGTGCAAAATAATAAAGATTGTGGGCTAGTTGGATGATCTTGGGCAACAATTTTCTTTTCTATAAGTATGAATAATAATAGGACCTACCTCACAAGGTTGTTCTGAGTGTTAAAATATTTTATAACATATAACATCTAGAAAATTTTCTAAATCATAACATGTATCAGTAGGTGATTGCTGCTGCTGCTGCTAAGTCACGTGAGTCTGTGTCCCACTCTGTGCGACCCCATAGACGGCAGCCCACCAGGCTCTGCCGTCCCTGGGATTCTCCAGGCAAGAACACTGGAGTGGGTTGCAATTGCCTTCTCCAATGCATGAAAGTGAAAAGTGAAAGTGAAGTCTAAAAGGGATTAATACAGCCCATTTGCAAAATATCTGTCAGTTAACATTAAGTCAAACTGTATCATGGAAACAGAAGATATCCTCAAAATAAAAAAGAATTATCTAAAATAAAATGAGAAACATATATCAGGCAAATAATAAGTAATATAAAACTGGCATAGAAATCAATATTTTAAAAAAATTCTAAATAACAAGTAACAGAAATAGTGATGCTACCCAATGAAGAGAGACAACCTATAAAGAAATCATTGAAGCATTGTATATAGTAGCAAAAAATTACTGTTCATTAAGGAACTGCATAAAAAGCTTTATATTCATTCAATGAAATACTGTTAAAAAGATTATTAAGAAATTGTGATAATATGTGCTAAATACAAGGCATGGAATACTATTAAGTAAAAAGATAATGGCTAGATGTTAAAAATAGAATTCAGGTATAGAACAGGTATATTCAGCATATTGAACAGGTATATTCAGGTATATTGCATACCAATATGCAAACCAAAAAAATACACTGGTGAGTATGACATCAAAATAAGAATAGTTTCTCGGGAGATGTGGAAGAAAATGCCACTCCACTATTTGTAATTTATTTTATTTTACAAAGAGTATGAATTAAGTACATCAAAATGTTAGCATTTCCTAGGAAAGGATAGTAATTTTATTTATTTATTTATTTTTTGATAGTTCAAAACTAAAACAGAAGTTTTTATTGAGTTCTTTAAATTACTGCCCCATGTTTTTCTTCTTACTGGAAAAGTTTTTAATCAGCCGTTCCTAATTTGACCAATATTTTAAAAAAGCAAAGATATTTTGTAAATGTGTCGCAGACACGGGTGACAGAACCCTACTTTTTGTAGAGGACCTTCATCTGAATAAAGTCATGAGTTTTTCAGTAAGCCTCCACCAAGTCTTCTGGTAACTCTGCAGAAGCAAGCCCACCATGGTCCGTGGGAGATGGGTTAGACAGACAGATGTTCTTTCAGTGGCAGCGCAATCTGTGGAGGAACGTTAATGAACCTCTCGCTCAGCAGAAAGCCCACAGGCCTGGCGGTGTCATTGAAGAGCCTGTCCAGCTGCTCAACTGTGCTCTTCTCACAATTCTTCTTACAGAGGCGCAGAATCAACTTCTTAATTTGCTCAGCGCATGGGGTACCCTTTCTTTCAGTTAAATTTAAGAGACTTATGAAACCAAAAAGCTCATCTTCATCCACATCATCATCGCTGTCTTCTGAAACATCCGTTTGCTTAATCACACTCCCGATATGGTTCTGCTGAATTAAGAGATCTGTGAGTTCTGCAGTGTTCACAGGGGCTTTCAGGAAAAGCTGCTGTAGTAACTTAATTCCATCATAATCGTTATCTGAAATAGAATAAGCTTCAAATTCAATATTCACTTCCTCATTGATGACCTCGTCCTCTTCATCCTCTTCTTCGTCACTGTCGTCTTCATCCACTTCCTCCACTTCATCCTCGTTTTCCTCATCGCCCAGAGCCGGGGGCACGCGGCTCAGAGCCGATAGTAATTTTAAGTGCTTATTTCTGTAGCTTTCTGTCAAACGGATGACAAAACTAACAACACTCTCCTCACACTAAACTTTGGTGTGTTGTCTTTTTGTTGAGTATGGTGGAAAGCATAAACATATGGGGTGGATGGTTCATCGTTTTCTAAAACCATTCCACTATCTTTTATTCTGACCTTCTAACTTCTAAATAAATCTTCATCTATTTGAAGGAAGGAGAAGATACTGAAACACAAAAAGTTGGTGGTGGTGGGTTTCTGCAACGTTTCAATGTTTAGATGGTAGTTCAACTATTACCCTCTCTCATTTAAATTTTCAAATTTTAAATATGTACCAGTCAAGTTCATAAGCAACAAAATAACATAAACAGTGTTACCAAGAGGTTTGATAGAGACTAACTCTAGTAAGCTTGGCTTTGCAGGTTCTGAACCTTTGACTCCTGGACATCATCCAAGGGTTCTCTTTCTTGATTAACTGTCACCTGGTTTCAAGCAATTCAAAGAGATAAAAAGAGAAAAAATTGTGGTTTCAATGCAATTTTATATCTGTTCCTACTCTTCTATCATGATCTATAACAATGATACACCTTTAATTTGAAAACATATGTTATCAATGCAAAAGACTAGAAGAGCCTGAATGTAAACAATAAAAATTCTGAAATCACCTGTAACTATGGACATCTTCAACACTATATTTAAAATTAGAGTTCTTAGAGTACCTATTCAGAAGAGAAAGGAAACTGTACAAGACAAGTTAGACGACCTGAGTAATTATCAGTGTTGCTTTTTATACATAATTATTATTTCATTCTCTATACTTTGTTTTCTAAAATTTCTATACGGAAGATGTAACCTGGAACAGGTGAAAATAGAGCAAATAGAACATGTATTGAGTGATTACATGGTAGATAAATGACCCAGGGATCGAACCCAGGTCTCCACATGGCAGGCAGATTCTTTCCTATCTGAGCCACCAGGGAAGTCCCACATAAATGAATAAGTAAATTCTTCTCTCTACTCTACGCCACCAACCAAATACAGACTCACTAGCTATTAGCCCACTGTTAGCCACAGTAACACAGGAAAACTACTCCAGCCTTCTTTGAACAAAGAAACTACTGGTTCCAAACACCACGAACTCTCTTTCCCATCATTCCTTTCCCTTAAGTTTCCCAGGAATCCTAGGGCTCAAGAGGAAGCAGTTAAACCCGCCCCCTCACGCTTCCCTGGTCATTGGTCACTGGTCCCGCCAGCTCGGTTTGAGGCTGTTGATTGGATACGAGTGGGGACCGTGGGGGTTCTGACAACCTGTGTGGAGGCGTGGCCATAACGCCCGGAAGCTCTACCCAGGCCGCCGCGCTATGGATCGCGCGCTCCGGCTCCTCGCGCGTTCGCGTTTACTCTCGCGGAATCCAGGTTCCGCCCCCAGCCCTGGCCTTGGCCCGGGTGGCCCAGCAGTCCTCCTGCTCCGGCCTCCGAACGCCGCTCGAATGGTGAGCTCGTGCTGCCCGACCGTCCCGGCCGCCCCGCAGTGACCTTCAGGCCTCCCGCCCGCCGGCCCTAGGGTCTCGATACTGGCCCGTGTATTGGAGCTTCGCTGCGGGCCCGGGGCGCTTCCTCGGCTGGAGGAGCGCTCGGGAGGGGCTGCAGCTGTGGGCTAGAGTCACGCCGGGCCTCCCGGACCCTGCCCCTACCGCGCTCACTTCTGCGGCGACTGCCCTTGCGAGGATGCTGAGGTGGACGGTGTGAGGAGGGGGCGGCCACGCGGTGGGACAGTGTCGGGAAGGGGCAGCTCCGCCCCTACCCTTGGTGGGCCCGGTAAAATCCAGCCCCTCGGAGCTAGCTTCTGGGGTCACAGCTGTGCTGCTAGTCGGTTTCCAGGCGGAGTTGGAAGGGTCTCGTGAACCTAAGAGGTTTTACTTCTTATGAAATAGGCCATTTAGTTTGTGAGACTGTTTTTCCCCACGTAACTTTTGTAAAACCCGGAAATATGAAACGGGCAGAATGCCGTCAAGTAATTTGGAGGACATGCATGGGAACCCAACTATTGCTGAATCAGCACTTTTAATTGAGGCACGCCCCCCGAGGAACTAAACGTCCAATTTCAGGTTGGATACCCCAACTTACACGAGCCCCTTTTCACTTTAGAAAGTAACCTCCGGAAATTGGGGCTTTAGTAAACATTGAATAGGTATGCTCCCATGTGTATTATCAGGAAAAGTTTGAGAGATAAATGCTAGTTTAGGAAGGCTTACTATTTTGCCGTATTCACTCTGATTTGTGATTTGAGCTTTTATTCAGAGAGATGTGACTTCAGACCCTATTCTGTTACTCAGAGTTGGCATTTTGGTCAGGTAATACTGTGATACAGTATTATGTGTATTATGTAATACATAATACATGAAAATAATTACAGATACTCAGCAATGCTGTCCCTGTGGAAATACTTTGAATTTGGGACATGGTGAGTGCTTTATTAAATGAATGCTTCCATCTAGGGGATTTCAAAGGCCCAAGACATTTTCTGGACTATACATTTTAAGATAACTTGATGACATCACTATATCTGAAACTAGAAATCAAGGATGCTTTATATTTCTGCAACTCCCTGCTGGAATAATTTTAGTGCACTTTAAAGCCTTTTAAAAAGTTATTTTTCACTTATTTAGTGTTTTGTAAAAAAGGAATAAAATACTGAAGAACTGAATCTATCCTGCTGTCAATGTAAAAAAAAAAAAAGCACTGTCTTGCTCTTAGTGTTGTAATGTTAACTAACATCAGGTGAGGGTAGATACTTTTTTCCCCATAATTCTGCGTACATCTTTTGCCCTCTAATCTTCTCAACTTCAAATTCTCCAAGTTGATCTAAGTTTTTCTTGTTGCTAGTGTTAAGAAATAAACTATATTCAATACCCAGTGACAAACCATAATGTAAAAGAATATGAAAAAATATATATGTCTAACTGAGTCAGTTTGCTGTACAGAAGATGTTTAACACAATACTATAAATCAGTTATATTTCAATAAACTTTTTACAAAAAGAACTTCAAATAACCCTAAATGCCCTAAATTACCTTTCATCTCAGTTAAGAATACAAGTTCATCAGATAGGAAGATTATGTTAAATACTCCCTGTGTGTGAAACAGTCACTGTGGGCACAGAGTTTAGACTACTTGCGTGCGTGCATCCCTGCTCAGTCGTGTCCAGCTCTTTGCAACCCCATGGACTGCAGCCTGCCAGGCTCCTGTGTCTATGGGGGTTGTCATCCCCTTTTCCAGGGATCTTCCCAAGCCAGGAGTCAAACTCATCATTTCTCCTGCATTGGCAGGCAGATTCTTTACCACTGTGCCACCTGGGAAGACCTTAGGGGCTACTAAGGCATGTTAAGTAAATAAAGCAGTTATTAATAAATAAGCAAAGAAGTCATGCACTGTTAATTAAAATGTGATACTGAGGAGAAAAATAGCGAATACACACTGGAGACCTGCTATATGATACTGCCTTGATAGCATGGTAGACAAAGAAGTTCTACCTTTTTTAAAGTTGCTTTATCTTCAAGATGGCCATAAAGTCTGAAAACATGGATATCTTATTCTATATTGCAGTACAGTATCAATAAACCATTTATTACATTTTTGTCAATATTTTAAGACTTGGTGGTCACCCTGTACTTTGGGAACTGAAAGGCTTTAAGAAGTCTTTAGAGAAACTGGAAACCCAAACACAATTAAGTCACATTTGGGATTTTTAACCTCTTGAGATAGTCTTTCTGCTTAAGAAATGGTTTGGATTTTCTTGAATTCTGAAATATTCTTTGAAACCAACTAAGGCTAAGAATGTGAAAGGCATTTTACATTTTCTTTAAGAGATATCATGGTTTAGTTAATGGTTATCTTACACATGCATGGGGATATACTATAGGCCTAAGGCCTGTACCTTTTTACTAGCCTTTAGACTCTTCAGAGGAGAAGGCAATGGCACCCCACTCCAGTACTCTTGCCTGGAAATCCCATGGACGGAGAAGCCTGTTAGGCTGCAGTCCATGGGGTCGCTAAGAGTCAGACACGATTGAGCGACTTCACTTTCACTTTTCACTTTCATGCCTTGGAGAAGGAAATGGCAACCCACTCCAGTGCTCTTGCCTGGAGAATCCCAGGGACGGGGGAGCCTGGTGGGCTGCAGGCAGTGAGGTCACACAGAGTCGGACACGGCTGAAGTGACTTAGCAGCAGCAGACTCTTTAAACTCTGATAGCTCTCCAAAGCCAGGCTTCAGCTGTATGTGAACTGAGAACTTTCAGATGTTCGAGCTGGATTTAGAAAAGTCAGAGGAACCAGAGATCAAACTGCCAACATCTGTTGGATCACAGAAAAAGCAAGAGAGTTCCAGAAAAACATCTACTTCTGTTTTATTGACTATGCCAAAGCCTTTGACTGTTTGGATTACAACAAACTGTGGAAAATTCTTAAAGAGATGGGAATATCAGACCACCTTACCTGCTTCCTGAGAAACCTGTATACAGGTCAAGAAGCAACAGTTAGAAAAAAAAAGAAAAAAAAAGAAGCAACAGTTAGAACCAGACGTGGAACAATGGACTGGTTCCAAATTGGGAAAGGAGTACATCAGGGCTGTATATTGTCACCCTGCGTATTTAACTTCTCTGCAGAGTACATCATGAGAAATGCTTGGCTGGATGAAGCACAAGCTGGAATTAAAGTTGCAGGGAGAAATATCAATAAGTTCAGATATGCAGACGCCACCCTTATGCCACAAAGCAAAGAACTAAAGAGTCTGTTGATGACGGTGAAAAAGGAGAGTGAAAAAGCTGGCTTGAAACTCGGCATTCAAAAACAAAGATCATGGCATCCGGTCCCATCACTTCATGGCTAATAGATGGGGAAACAATGGAAACTGTGACAGTCTTTATTTTGGGGGGCTCCAAAATCACTGCAGGTTATGACTGCAGCCATGAAATTAAAAGATGCTTGCTCATTGGAAGAAAAGCTATGACAAACCTAGACAGCATATTAAGAAACAGAGACATTACTTTTTGACAAAGGCCTGTCTAGTCAAAGCTATGGTTTTTCCAGTAGTCATACATGGATGTGAGAGTTGGACCATAAAGCTGAGTGCTGAATTGATGCTTTCGAACTGTGGTGTTGGAGAAGACTCTTGAGAGTCCCTTGGACTGCAAGGAGATCCAACCAGTCAATCCTAAAGGCAGTCAGTCCTGAATATTCATTGGAAGGACTGATTCTGAAGCTGAAACTCCAATACTTTGGCCACCTGACTCATTGGAAAAGACCCTAATGCTGGGAAAGATTGAAGGCGGGAGGAGAAGGGGATGACAGAGGATGAGATTGTTGGATGGCTTCACTGATTTGATGGACATGGGTTTGAGCAAGCTCCAGGAGCTGGTGATGGACAGGGAAGCCTGGCGTGCTTCAGTCCATGGGGTCACAGAGTCAGACATGACTGAGCAACTGTACTGAACTGAGACTCTGATTTAGATAGCATGCTCATCAATTCCAGGTTACTGAGGTTAGTGGATGGTAATAGTACTTGGTATTTCTAGGACCAAATAACAATCACACTGCAGTACACACAGGCCATATTATCCTTTCATGCTTCTCCAGGAGGGGAAGCAATTGTGAGTAAAGATTCATCTCCCAGGACACTGGGAAATTGCAGTTTGTGCCTGCCCTATGTCTAGCTGGTTAGACTCTTTTAAACTTCTCCCAGAAATTCTGCTCTCTGAATTATGGGATATAAAGACATGATTTTTAAAAAAAACACAATTTTTATAATAATGAATTATAAGAATTAAAAACTTATTTATATTATTTAATAGATGCCATCATGACCTCACTTTTTCATCAAAAGCACTGATAATTTTTTTCATTAATTTAGTTGAGCAGTCCCCTTCTTGCCTAAGCCACTGGGAAGAGATAATGTAAGAAGGTTTTGAAAAGCATACGTGTGTTTTTCAAACTTCAGGTGGACTCATTAGTAGGTGGAGAAATCAATGTAGTGGACAGTTAACAGCATTGGTTTTTTGACTGAATAGCATAGAATAGAAAATATGAGAGCAGGATAGATTGTTTCGCAAAACTTTTGTTTCAGGCTTGTGTGTATATACATGTGTGTTTATGTATAATATAAAGGTTTTTTCTTCTGTAGGTCATTGTAAAGAGCCAGGCTCTTTTCAAATTACTGCTTCGGCCCTGGGTCCCAGAGTGTGAAAATTTTCTGTGCACCTTTTAAGAGTGGAGTTTCTATTTCCCACAGACCTCTGGCCAAAAGTGAGGCCTGTGGCCTCCAAAGCCAAAGTTTCAAGGGGCTCTTCTCAGTGCAAGACCTCCAGGCTAGGGACCCTGACACTGGACCTGGACCTCTTTCTCCTGGGGGAGAATCTCTGCAATTGTAATTATCCTCCAGTTTGTGGGTCACCTCCCCCCAGCGGAGTATAGGTCTTGACTTTAATATGTCTTCACCCCTCCTGCGTATTTTGCCATGGTACCTATATATTTACAGTTGTAGAAGCTATTTTCTGCTTATTTTTCAGCTTTACTCATCAATCATTGCTCTGTAAATCATAATTTTGGTGTGCCCATGAGAGGAAATGAGCTGAGAGTCTTCCTACTCTGCCACCTTAACCACTGCTCTCCTCTGCAGACTTTTAGGCAGAAGAAAAAAATGTACCTTGTTGATTATACTCCTATATTTCTAACTAGATACAAGGATATTTTTCTTTTCATACAATTTAAAAAGTTTTATAAAGTTTTTTTTTGTTGTTGTTCCATCTTTCTAGTCCCAAGGGATAACTACAAAATTAATTTTTTCCTATTCAGAGGACTATTTACTAAAATAAGATTACTTTGCTAGGTGTTTTTAAATCTTTTGAATCATCTGATCATGTTTATTTTATAATTAATGCAAGGTGAACATTAATTAAAATTCTGAGTATCTCTTTGAACTCTTTTTAAAATAAATATATGTAGATTCCAAATGTCTATTTTTGATTTTTTAATTAGTATAAGTTGATGTACTTGGTAGAACCTTAGGTTCTCCATAAAGGGATTTTGGGTCATGGGTTTGTTTCCTGGGGAAAGAGTTGACTTCAAGGTATAAACTCCTTAAAATCGTATGTAAGATTTTACATATATTTATGTTAATTTTTCTAGAGAGATGATCATAGCTTTCCTCATGTTCTCCAAAGGTTCCAATACCCTGAAAAAGGTTAGGAACTGATCTGGCCCATGTCTCTGTAAATTACACCATTTACTATAATTATAGATTAGAAAGGCTGACTTGCTGAAGATGACACAGCTACTAGGTGGTGGGCCATCTCACTGCAAAGCCTGGAATAGTTTGTATTGCACTAAGCTCTCTCTCATGCATAATGTTTGTAGACAGTGGTTGAGCTTTGGTTAAATATGATAATATTAAAGTATTGTTCTTAGGTTATTTTCCAAAGTTCCTAGTAAAATAGTAGATCAAAGCTTGGTCAATAATAGGCATATTCCTGAATTGGAAAAGATTACTCTTTTGACTTCAAAGGCTTTCTTTGTATTTATTATGTGCATAGTATATGAATCCTAGAATCCATCGTTAACATCTGTATTTGTGTGACTAAAATTTTCAAGAAAAATACAAAGTGGGGGAGGACAGTGAGAATCAAAGTGGAATTTTTTTGTCTTTGTGGTACTTAAGGATTTCTTTTCCCAGATATGATGTTTCCTGTATATTGGAAACATATATTTCCAATTATTTTGGAATTATAAATTAAATTTATATTTCTAATATTAAATAATTTCCAATTATTTCCAAAATTTCCTGTGTGTTTCCTGTATATGATGTTATTTCTCCTCATACTTGTTTTCTCTTCAAGCTGTAACAGTGTCTTATCTTTATTTTTAGGCAAGCCAAAATTCTTTTCGGATAGAATATGATACCTTTGGTGAACTCAAGGTCCCAAATGATAAGTATTATGGTGCCCAGACTGTGAGATCTACAATGAACTTTAAGATTGGAGGCATGACAGAACGCATGCCAGTAAGTGGCTTTTGTGGAAATGTTGACTTATTTTAAATGAACTAGGCATTATTCAATATTATGAGTCACCCTACCTTGTAAATATTTTACAGAATTAAAATGTAAAGTCATTTTGAGATCTAGCTTTGTGAGTAATAAAGTGTTTCTCTCTCGTTAAACTTTTTCAGGTTTAGTATGCTAGTGTTTTGAGCTATGACTTTGAGTCTTTTGTATTTTTTATTTGATAGAACTAAGTGATTTGTCTTTCATTCTTGCTTAGATTTCTTCATATTTTTACTAGAATGTTGTAGTTTGTAAACATTTTAAATTTTGATTCTTTTTAATTGATGTAAAGCTTTTAAGAGACTGATTTAAAAGAAAACTTTTTAAAAAACTTTTTATTTTGTATTGTGGTATAGCTGCAATATATTTATATGATTAATTAAAGATTAATAAAGATTAATACATTAATATGATTAATAAAGAATGCTGTGATAGTTTCAGGTGAAGAGCAAAGGGTCTTAACCATACACATACATGTATCCATTCTCCCCCAAACTCCCCACCCATCCAATTTTTCTTTAATGTTATATTTTCTATCTATCTTGGCTTCAGTTTGTAAAAAAGTGTATACTAACTCATAAAAATACTATTTGTCATGATGTCTGGCATATAACATAATATATAAGTATTTGTTCAGTGCTACATGAATGATTTAATGATGAGAAAACTTTATTTGTATGAAAACAAATATTTCTTACAAATATATATAAAAACCATATTTCATTAAACCCTTACATTAGAACTAATCTTCAGTTAGACCTGATATGTACTACTAAGAAAGAAAAAGTCTGCCAGTTAAAGTTGTGTCATGTCATTGATTTTAAGATACATCTTGATTTCAGAGATGTTAAAGTGTGAAAAGAATTGATGAAATGTATTACATATCCTACTGGAGCCCAACTAGAGTATGAAAAATAGTCAGCACAAGAATGCAGGATAGGCTAGTAAGCCTAGAAGTCCCCAGGCCTCATCTGGTGAGATACTGCTACCTTTATCTTTTAAATATACTTTTTATCTAAACAATAATTTTAACTTCCATATTTTAGCTTATTACTAAGACTTCAAGACTGAATCTTGACAGGTTCATACACCTTTCCAAGAGGCAGTGGAATCTTAGAAAAATATCTCTGTAATTGTCAACCCACAGCCAGTCTAATGGTGAGGGCCGGACTACATGGTTGGGAGAGAGAGGGTAGCAGCTGATCCTAAATATTCTCATATAGTTCAACTTGTGGGGTTAAAAAGATCAGTCTTAACCAATGTTAATTGGAGTAAGCATGGCTGATGTTTTGATTTTCCTGCTTCAACTAGCAAGATGTGTGGTTCTGGGGTGGCGTGATTGCTGCTACTGCCGCCGTACTAGAAACAGAGCAGTTGTTTGGATCTGGACAGGTGTCTGTGAAAGATGGATCCATGGGTTATCAATTTTTACATATTTGGCTTCATCTGGAATAATTTTCTGAATTACGTAAAATATAAAGCAGACTCTTTGTACCTGAGGTCCTTAGGAAAACAAAACCAAAAAAAATTTACGGACTGCTAATCTGAGTAAAGAATAATGAGACCCTTTCATCTCCAGTCATATATTTACCATTTTGTTTTAGTAGTGCACAGTGAAACTCTGTACTGTGACTTTGTTTTATTTTTATGCGTCCACAAACACCGTGGGGTCAGTCACTCCATTTTGGCAGCCAGAGTTGATTGGCATTTGGTTGTGACTTCAGCATTGGTTTGACCCACTGCAGTGTTCCTGTAGAAAATGAAATTCTCATTTGTTTTCATGTGTAATCCTATGTGCCATATATCTCCATTTCATTTGGGTAAAACACCTGTAATGTTTTAATTTTAATTTCCTGGATTTAGCAGGAAATACTCTGAAACAGATTAGTGCTACCAGCCATGGGGGGAGAGGGGGATGGTGCACCGTGGCATTCTGGTTCCTGGTCCCTCACCAACCCCAAGGCCCTACGTGTGGCCCCCCCACCCCTCACACCCTCCAGCCACCACATTTTCATTCTCTTGACGGTTCACTGTGAAGAGGCTTTTTAGTGTGACATAGTCCAGTTTGTTTATTTTTGCTTTTGTTGCTTTTTCTTTTGGACTCCTCCAGAAAACCATTGCTGAGACTGATATCAAGAAGTTTGCCGCCTATGTCTTCAAGAGTTTTCTGGTTTCATGTCTGACATTCAAGCCTTTAATCCCTTTTGAGTTCACGTTTGTGTGTGGAGTGAGATGGTGGTCCATTCTCATTCTTTTGCATGTGGCTCTCCAGTCTTCACAGCACCATTTTGCCACCTTTATTTTACTTGTTATTTTATTCTTTTCTAAAGAGAAGGAAAAATTTATTACATAGCGTGGAATCCAGTGAGGGGAAATAATGTTGTTCTGTTGCTAAGTGGTGTCCAATTCTTTTGAGACCCCATGGATTGTAGCCCACCAGGCTCTTCTGTCCATGGGATTTTTCAGGTAAGAATACTGGAGTGGGCAGCCATTTCCTTCTCCAGGGGATTTCCCAAAACAAGGATTGAAGCCCCTGTATTGGCAGGTGGGTTCTTTACTACTGAGCCACCAGGGAAGCCCAAATAATGGTATGAGTGAAAGCTACTCAGTTGTGTCTGACTCTGTGACCCCATGGGCTGTAGCCAACCAGGCTCCTCTGTCCATGGAATTCTCCAGGCAGGAATACTGGAGTGGGTTGCCATTTCTTTCTCCAGGAAGTAATGGTGTAGGTTGGTGAAATGGTTGAGTATCGTTTGTTTTTAAATACGTGACGTAAAATCACATGTGTTGTAATATCTTATAAAAAATAGGACAAATGATATATTGTACAAATAGTATATTGTACATCTGTGTGAATATGTGTGTATGTGTGTGCAAGGCATACATACATATCTGTGAAAAGTCATTGTATTTGCTTTTGTTTGGTTGCCTATACAAATAGATAAATGACGGTTCTTGGTTTTTATATGCCTATGTTTAATCTTTCTATATATCCTAAACATTTTAGTGTCATAATATGTAGGTTATTGTTTTCTGTACAATGTTTGTATCTGCATAAGATAGTAATCTTAAATTTTCATGCTTAAATTGCAAATTGAGATATTTTTCTGATTAAAAATTTTAGATCCCAGTTATTAAAGCATTTGGCATCTTGAAGCGAGCAGCTGCTGAAGTAAACCAGGATTATGGTCTTGATCCAAAGGTTGCTAATGCAATAATGAAGGCAGCAGATGAGGTAAGAGGTGATAAGAGTGTTTACTTATTGGCATTAGATCCCTATTATCTTCCGGATAATGATAAGCTCTGGCCTGAGGAAAGGGGCACTGAATTCTTGAGTTACTGTGTTTTAGCATAGGATGACAATGTTATTGTTTGCTGAGGATATTAATATGATGCTTCAAATATATATTGTGGCAAATTTTCTGGATGATTTGATACCTTTCATTTCTAATTCTCTTTACTTTTCCTTGTAATTTATATAGTTTAAAGATAAGTTTCTGAAGAGGCGCACTCTGAGCTTATGTATTTGATTTCTTGTAATTTCACTCTTCCACCAATAACATAATTTTGTGTGCAATTAAAGATAAGCAGAGATAACAGTTTAAAAGTTCTAGATATAGTGTTCATTGCAATACTATTTATTACAGCAGCTGTTTAAACAAGTTAGATTGTGAAGCCATAGAAATTGAGTTTTTTAAAGAATGTCATAGAACAAAGCCTACCATATAAGAAGTGGGGAGCAAAGATTGCAAAATGCATGTATTTTATGATCCCAATTTTTTTTAGAAAAAGTGAATAGAAAACATGTTTTTCTGCATATATACTTCCATCACTTGAATTAGAGACTAGAAGGAGATGCCAAAGTTCTAATCATCTTTATTTCTGAGGGTAGAACTATGATGACTGTTATACTTTTCTTAGTTCTCAGAATTTTTTACCATAATCACCAATTATTTTTATTCAGTTAGGAAAAAAGTTTTACTTTTAAATGAACCAGTTTTTTAAGGTAATCGATTTCTAATGATGCTGATTTTCTTAGCTTAAAACTAAAATCATTCCAGAAGATGAAGTTAAGTACTCACTCTCCCAGAGAACTTAAAATTAAAAAACTAACTCAGAATACAAAAATATGACAAAAATAGAGACAAATCTAGACATGCTTATGTCTGTGCTTAGAGGTTGCTACTCACGGGACATTTGTGGGATGCAGTAGCTACTAGTGAACTCACACTGTTAAGTCACTTGTTGGTTATAATGCTGACTCCGGCTACAACATCTGTTGGATATTCCTGTTGAGTACCAATAGTAAATTTATCTAGAGACTTAACACATTTGCCAGCATTAGCAAGTGGCCCTGTCTGAATATTACAGAGGGCAGTTGGAGAAATAGAAGAAAGATATCTTTGATTCAGTTTTCATTTGGAATCAGTGAAATTTTTATACCATTCACAATAGATTATCTTTCACCTTTTAAAGTAGCAGTGGTTAGACTGCAGAAGCTTCAATTTGATGGACAACCAGGAACTATAGTAGCACATGAAAAAGTGAGTATCTTTAAAATAGTACTATAAATGATGCCAACAATCATTTGATTCAAACAGCTTAATGAATATAGAATTTTTCTGATTTTTTAAAATACGTTTTTTAACATTTTGTTCTGTAGGTAGCTGAAGGTAAATTAAATGATCATTTTCCACTCGTGGTATGGCAGACTGGATCAGGAACCCAGACAAATATGAATGTAAATGAAGTCATTAGCAATCGAGCAATTGAAATTCTGGGAGGTGAACTTGGTAGCAAGAAACCTGTACATCCCAACGATCATGTTAATAAAAGCCAGGTCAGTATGCGACGACTTCTTTTCCTTGTATAAACTGAAAAGAACCCTGAGGTTTTCCTTGTAAAACAGGCATTAACTATTGACAGGGAGGATTAATTCTGCTTATATTCTTTAATGGAAAGGACTTCTTTTATGTTCTTCTTATTTATTTTAGGAATCTTGAGTCTATGTCTTAAATTTCATGAAAAGCACCTTTAGGGGGAAAAAATCACTTTTAGGATACTTGATAGTATATGTGTATATTTTCATTGATTTATATTTTAAAAACTCTTTCTTTTAGAATATAAAATTATTTATAAGAATTGCAAAGATATTTCAGAGTTTCTATGTACCCTTCACCCAACTAACCTTAATATTAAATATTTTACATAACCCTGGTACATTTGTCACACAAAGTAATTGAGATTGGTACACTCTTAAGCAGGCTTTATTAGTTTTCTATTGATGTCCTTCTACTTTTAACCAGGATCCAGTCTATGTTCCACATTGTATTGTCATCACATCCCCTTAGTCTCCTCTAATCTGAGAGTTTGTCTTTTGTCTTTGTGACTTTTGAAAGCAGTGTTCAGATATTTCATGAAATGTCCCTCAGTATAGGTTTGTCTGTTGTTTTCTCATGATTAGGCTGAGACTGTGGATTTTGGGGAAGATTGTTAAGAAATGAAGAGCTCTTCTTGCATCATATCAGGGGTACATGATAATAGCACAAGTTGGTACTGGTGATGTTAACTCGAATCACTTGGTTAAGATGGTGTCTTCATTTTCCAATGGCCTATACTCCAGCTACTGCATGTAAGCTCTGTTCCTACAGGGAGGAATGTCAAGAAATTTTTGGACACGTGTTGAAATAACCACGAAATTAGTAGAGAACTTTGAGGCTATGGAAACAGCCTCTTTCTCCCTAAACTTTTGCCTATTAATTTTTAACATTCATCAGAGGATCTTGCCAATAGCAATTACTGCTGTGATGTTTTAGTAGTAATTTTCTTTTCCCCCCTTTCTTTTTCCATTTGTTAATTGAAATTTTTCTGTAGGGAATATTTGTCTTCTCTCTCCCCTCACATTTATTTATTTATTTAATCATTTATGTGTGTAAGCATGAATTCATTAATATTTTTTCTTAAGGTTATAATCCAGTATTTTTGTTCTTTATATTGCTACTCATATCGTTCCATAAAGCCACAGTATGTTGGCTCCTGTGTCCTTTGGACATGCCACCATCCCTTTTTTTTTTTTTAAAGGCACTTATTTTTTCCACTACAAGATGCTCCAGGCTTATCATCTTGTATTTTATGGCAACCCACTCCAGTACTCTTGCTGGAGAATCCCATGGATGGAGGAGCCTGGTAGGCTACAGTCCATGGGGTCGCAAAGAGTCGCACCCGACTGAGCGACTTCACTTTCACTTAACCCCCCTCAGTTCAGTTCAGTTCAGTTCAGCTGCTCAGTTGTGTCCGACCCTTTGCGACCCCATGAATCGCCTCCCTGTCCATCACCACCTCCTGGAGTTTACTCAAACTTATGTCCATCGAGTCGGTGATGCCATCCAGCCATCTCATCCTCTGTCGGCCCCTTCTCCTCCTGCCCCCATTCCCTCCCAGCATCAGGGTCTTTTCCAATGAGTCAACTCTTCACATCAGGTGGCCAGAGTACTGAAGTTTCAGCTTCAGCATCAGTCCTTCCAGTGAACACCCAGGACTGATCTCCTTCAGGATGGACTGGTTGGATCTCCTTGCAGTCCAAGGGACTCTCAAGAGTCTTCTCCAACACCACAGTTAAAAGCATCAATTTTTCAGCACTCAGCTTTCTTCACAGTCCAACTCTTACATCCATACACGACCACTGGAAAAACCATAGCCTTGACCAGACGGATGTTTGTTGGCAAAGTAATGTCTCTGCTTTTTAATATGCTGTCTAGATTGGTCATGACTTTCCTTCCAAGGAGTAAGCATCTTTTAATTTCATGGCTGCAATCACCATCTGCAGTGATTTTGGAGCCCCCAAAAATAAAGTCACCCACTGTTTCCACTGTCTCCCCATCTATTTCCCATGAAGTGATGGGACCAGATGCCATGATCTTAGTTTTCTGAATGTTAAGCTTTAAGCCAACTTTTTCACTCTCCTCTTTCACTTTNCAGCACTTTCACAGCATCATCTTTCAGGATTTGAAATAGCTCAACTGGAATTCCATCACCTCCACTAGCTTTGTTCGTAGTGATGCTTTCTAAGGCCCACTTGACTTCACATTCCAGGATGTCTGGCTCTAGGTGAGTGATCACACCATTGTGATTATTTGGGTCATGAAGATCTTTTTTGTACAATTCTTCTGTGTATTCCTGCCACCTCTTCTTAATATCTTCTGCTTCTGTTAGGTCCATACCATTTCTGTACTTTATCGAACCCATCTTTGCGTCAAATGTTCCCTTGGTATCTCTAATATTCTTGACGAGATCTCTAGTCTTTCCCATTCTGTTGTTTTCCTCTATTTCTTTGCATTGATCGCTGAGGAAGTCTTTCTCATCTCTCCTGGCTGTTCTTTGGAACTCTGCATTCAAATGGGAATATCTTTCCTTTCCTCCTTTGCTTTTCACTTCTTTTCACAGCTATTTGTAAGGCCTCCTCAGACAACCATTTTGCCTTTTTGCATTTCTTTTCCATGGGGATGGTCTTGATCCCTGTCTCCTGTACAGTGTCACGAACCTCTGTCCATAGTTCATCAGGCTGTCTGTCCCACTAAGCAGTCATTTTTCCAGACCTTTTGGAGGATCTAATTGGGAAGTGATATTTAAAAATCAGGATCTGGGTACTGAGTGTAATTCAAAGTATAAGGAAGTTTATTTATTTTTTTCGCATAAATGCATGGTGGTAAGGATTTTGCAAACCTAGGACTTGCATTTAAATATGAGTTTATCTTTTATGTATACTGAAGTCTGAAGTCTACTTCAGAATAACCTAGTGTGTATGGTCAGGTAGAGGACTGAGGTGTAGTTAAAGATAACATTGTAATTTAAAAGTACAGGTTTACATTTGACAAAAGACCATGGCATTTAGACTACCTGATCAGGTCCCAGTTCTGCCAACTCTAAATACTTCGACATGGCACATAATTTCTTTGACAGATTCTGTTCTATTTTTAAAGTGGTGACCTACCTCACAGAATTTTCCTCAAGTTTAGTGAAGGAAGAAATGTTTGTGAAAGACTGTATGTGCTGTTTAACTGTAAGATGTTTTGTTACTCCTGTTCTTACATCTGCTAGGTGTATTTCTTTGTGTCTTGCTGTTATTTATTATCAGGTAGATACAGTAATATGTAATACATTCATTGTAGGTGGTCTGTGTAATACAGTCCTAAATACCTTCTACAAAGGAGATCAGGTTGCTTCTTTTACTTCTTATTTGATCCTAAGTGACTTGGCCCACATAAGTATAATTGAGTACTAAATATGCCAAGTTTTGAATAGTCACTTAGTGAGATTTTTAACTGAGACTTTCAAGTTTGGTTTTTTTGCCTATGATTTAACATTTTGTTTCTTTTGAAAACTTTCCGACAGAGCTCAAATGATACTTTCCCCACAGCAATGCACATTGCTGCTGCAGTAGAAGTTCATGAAGTGCTGCTCCCGGGACTACAGAAGCTGCATGATGCTCTCGAAGCAAAATCCAAGGAGTTTGACCAGATCATCAAAATTGGGCGTACTCATACACAGGATGCTGTTCCACTTACTCTTGGGCAGGTATACTGAGTGTGATTAAATTTGGTTCTGTTGTGGGCTTGGTGCAAATGGCCAATATATTACCCTCTTAATCACACTGGATTAAATGGCCAAGTTTATAACAGTTCAGTTCAGCAACAGAGATGATTCTGCATTAACTTGTCAGTGATTTTTATTGGCATCCACTCAGGAGAAGAGCAGGACATACTGGTTATGAGCCAGACTCCACATTAATCTACTTGAGTTTAAATCTTAGCTTTGCTATATGCAAACTATTGGACCTTAGGAAGCTTAGCTTTTCTCTGCGTCAGTTTTTCTAGCTGTAAAACAAAGAAAATAATATCTCTTTCATAAATAGTTATGAGGTTCAAATAAGCTAATTCATGTAGAATACTTAGAACTATTTCTGACACATTGTAAGCACATATTGATGTTAGCTGTCATCATCTTCATCAGTATCATTATAATTTCTTCCTTTGTCTCTCTTATTCTAAATTAGTAAGTTCTTTAAAAATTAATTTTAAAGTGGTTGAATGTTTTGGCCACATGTAAAGAGGTATTACTCTTTTCCAAAATACAGAAAGCATTTTTACGTTTCTTTATGATAGCTCAGAGGGTAAAGCATCTGCCTGCAATGCAGGAGACCTGGGTTTGATCCCTGGGTCAGGAAGATCCCCTGGAGAAGGAAATGGCAGCGCACTCTGGTACTCTTGCCTGGAGAATCCCATGGACGGAGAAGCCTGGCGGGCTGCAGTCCACGGGGTCCCAGAGTCGGAGACTACTGAGGGACTTCACTTTCACTGTCAGTGATGCTTTAAAGAATATCAAGGATATCTGATAGTGCACATTGCAGAGGAAATACAAGGAACAGGTTTTGTCTCAGTAAGCTCACTCCACTTTGAGGTAGGACATACACAAATTCTATATCAAGTATCAGTAACAGTATTTTTGTAGAAATTCAGGTTAGTGTGAGAGTTTGGCTGCTGGTTATTTGGAAATATTTCATTTGTAGTTTTGTTCATCTGATAGCAAACACTGGGAAAAAAAAAACATGATCATTTACCTTAAGTTTATGACAGCAGGAATGAGGAAAACTGGAAATGATTAATTGAAGTACAGATGATGTGACTAAATTAAGCTTACTAAATTAAGTTGCTCCTTAAGCTGTATCTTATTTATTTTTACATCATTGGCTCTTAGTACCACACATAAGTTCTAAGGAGATACAGTATATGTTTTTGAAACTTTTGAGTAACCCTATGGTTTCTAGTTTTTTTTTTTCATATTTTTTGTGTGTGTTACATGTAGGAAAACCATTATATGCTAAAGTCCATTTGGGCCATGACTCCGCTTCCTGTGTAAAATCATCATTCTTTGTGACAGAAAGTAACATTTTTCTGTTTATCTTACCAGAGGCATTTATACTTGCTTTTATTGAAATTGTCTTTTGAGTTTCTTGAGTGTAATTTTTTCTCCAATAAAAACATATTCCTTAAGTGAATCCCCCTGGTATATATGTAAGTGATATTAGATCAGATGGAAAGGAGTTGTATTTTCTAAAAAAATGTGTGAAATCTCAGTACTGATCAAAAGTATTCATGGTTTTTCAGTGTTTTTAGACAGGGGGAAGAAAAGATAGATTGTGTGTAACCATATATCCTGGTTTGCTCAGTTGAGTTCTAGTTTATGCCCTCTGTCCTTGCAAGTTCTTAATAGGGCCCTTGCTGTGTTCTAAACATGATGATTTCTGTGGTTACTTTACTTAAAATATGTCGTACTTTGGGAACCAGTGTGGCATTCATAGCAGAATTAAAACACATCATGAAGCTACCCAGAGTCTTACTCTACCCTGTTAGCTTCTTAGGCTGTCCAGTAAGTCACTTAGCTTCTTGAGACCCTTTAAAATACCCTCAAATTCCACGTCAGGTTTTTTAACTGAAATTGTATGGAGGATATTTCTTTTTTTTATCCCAATTATTTTTATTAGTTGGAGGCTAATTTACAATATTGTAGTGGTACAGATGGATATTTCTGTGTTTGCATTTTTCTTGCAGAGATTCAGTTATTTTCTTTCTTCAAGTTATTTGAGATACACCAACAAAATAAATCATTTGCAAATAAACCAATAATTTAATAAAGTTGTTTTTTTTTTTAACGTTTATTTCCTGTGTTGGTTTTCTTTGTTTTCTATTAAAAGAGTAGTTTATAAGTAGGTTGCATGTTATTATCAGTGGCATTGCCTACCTGATAGGCTCATAAGTGCCCTTTTACCCTTGTACATTGCTTGTCGTATAAATTAATATAATTGCCACTTGAGTAGCTTCTAATTTTGTGCCTGAGATGTGTTTTTTAAAAACTTCTATTTAACGCAGTTAGAGTGACTTAACGTGCCATTAGGAAATTGTATACTCACCTTAATTTCTTTCTTTTTTCAGGAATTTAGCGGTTATGTTCAACAAGTAAAATATGCAACAACAAGAATTAAAGCTGCCATGCCAAGAATTTATGAGCTCGCTGCTGGGGGCACTGCTGTTGGCACTGGTTTAAATACTAGAATTGGCTTTGCAGAAAAGGTTGCTGCAAAAGTGGCTGCACTCACAGGTTGGTGATAACATGGCTTACTACTCATTACCATTAGACCAGTCTATGTTTTTCTGGGTGTTACTGCTTTGAATTCTTACAGATTTAAAGTTAGAAATAATACTTCCCCATCAGACATCTACTTTGTGTCTGTTTTAGAAGTTGTGATATTAATCCTTGTATTTTTTAAAAGTTTTCCATCTGTATGTTCATACAGCATGTAATTTTTAAAATCTTTTAGTGCTAACTTCATTTACTACCTGGTAGTATTCAGTTATTTTCCATTTAAAGCTGTTTTAGGCTTCCATTGTGGCTCAGTTGGTAAAGAACCTGCCAGCAATGTAGGAGACCTGGGTTTGAATCCTGGGTTGGGAAGATCCCCTGGAGAAGGAAATGGCAACCCACTCCAGTAATCTTATCTGGGAAATCCCATGGACAGAGGATCCTGGTGGGCGACAGTCCATAGGGTCACAAGAGTCACATGACTTAGCAACTAAATCACCACCAAAGCTGTTTTGAATACTCATTTTCAAAGTAGGAAGAATCAAGTGATTGGTGAGAAATTCATTTGAATGACAAATATGTTAGAGATTGACTGGCTTAATTTCTCTTTTCCCTATGGCATACTGTGACATTTCTTTGAATTAATGACCTTTTTGAAGGTCTCAATAATGGTAACTGTTACTAGAGCTGTTGTCTCCAGAAAACTCTTATTAACATGCATATCTTAACAGAGTTAGAGCACAGATAATTCTACATTTCTTTTTATTGCTTACTAGCAGAGATTTGACTTTTAATTAAACTTTAATCAGTGAGAATTGTAATATGGGGTCTAGAATATGTAGATCTTTAAAAATTTGAACATGGGAGCTGCTGAGAATGTCTAGTTCATTTTGACTTCCTAATCTCTCAGAGGAGCTTGTAGGTCCTGGCTAGAGAAGAGAATGCATGTGTGCTCAGCCGCTTCAGTCGTGTCTTTTGCGAGTCCGTGGACTGTAGCCCACCAGGCTTCTCTGTCCATGGGATTTCCCAGGCAAGAATACTGGAGTGGTTTGCCACGCCTTCCTCCCGAGGATCTTCTTGATCCAGGGATCAAATCTGCGGTTCTTACATCTCCTGCATTGGCAGGCGTGTTTTTACCACTAGCACCACCTGAGAAGCCCAGAAAAGAGAATAGGATGCCTAAAACGGGGGGGGGAAAATTGTACTAGGAAAGGAGTTTGGAGTTGAGCGGAGTGAATTTTACCTACTTTTCATCTTTACTCACGGCATCATACACATGTGTTTGCATCAGCAGAATGCTTTTTCGTTTAGTATTTTATATTTCTTTCAACATTTATTGTACTTGTTTTATCTTTTAAATGTGCTAGTATCACTAGATTCCTTCTACTCCTCAGGACATCTTGAAGAAATGTAGAGAAAGCTTGAGTCTTAAGCATTTCTTTCTGAAGTTGAATTTTTATTCTGTTTTTGCTTATGTTCATATACTGACAGTTGCTGTTTAACTTGCTGATATTAGAAAAATGTTTAATTTTACCTGTTAACTCATACAGGTTATTGATTTTTTTCTTCAGGCTTACCTTTTGTCACAGCTCCAAATAAGTTTGAAGCTCTGGCTGCTCATGATGCTTTGGTTGAACTCAGTGGAGCCATGAATACTACTGCTTGCAGTCTGATGAAGATCGCAAATGATATTCGTTTTCTGGGTTCTGGTCCTCGCTCGGGACTGGGAGAACTGATTTTGCCTGAAAATGAACCAGGAAGCAGTATCATGCCAGGTAATCATGCAGCTGGCTTCCCAGGTGACCCAGTGGTAAAGAATCCGCCTGCTAAGCAGGAAATGCAGGTTCAATCCCTGGGTCAGAAAGATCCTCTGGAGAAGAAAATGGCAACCCACTTCAGTATTCTTGCCTGGAAAATACCATGGATAGATGAGCCTAGTGGACTATAGTCTGTGGGGTCGCAACTAGTTTGACACGGCTTGCTAACTAAACAACAGTAATCATCGCATAGCTGGTAAATGTTAGAGCTAGAACTTGATTAGAACCCAGGCATTCTCATCTACAAAGCATGTCTTCTTTCGTTTAACATGATCTGTAAGTAGATGGGAACATGTGCGGCACACTTGTTTCAGAATGTGTTTAGGGCTACCTTTGATCAGAACTTCTGGGAGCATCACCAACAATACAGGATAAAACAATTTCAGTTAGTATTGTGTATTTTGATTTCCACATTAGAAAATGTGTAATAGTTCTGTATTTGCAATCCAAAGCAGGTAGTATTCTAGAATAGGCTGTTAAAGTGATCTTAATGGGTTGAATAAAAAGAATTATATCACATGTCTCTTATTTCATTCTTTGCTTTGCACTTTGGCGAGTTAGGTATGGGAGGCTACGCAGATACGATTGGGGCCTTCCTTTATTATATGTCTTGCTTTGTCTTTCCTTCTTTTCTTTTAACTCATACTTGAAGCCATCGGTGTGTTTGATGTGGTATCTTTGGTGGTTTTCTTGAAGGAAAGGTGAACCCCACCCAATGTGAAGCAATGACCATGGTTGCAGCCCAAGTCATGGGGAATCATGTTGCAGTTACCGTTGGAGGAAGCAATGGACATTTTGAGTTGAATGTTTTCAAGCCAATGATGGTAAGTTTTTGATTTTTAATGTCTTTGACCCAAAGCTAGTTGTCTTGATTTTTGTCTATCATAAAGATTTCTTAAAGTTCATTAGGTACTAAGATAATATGAGTAGCAGTTGGAAGTCAAGCATACATTAATGTTAGAGGATTAATCTTGGATATTTAATTAGGTGACTTTTAGCTTAAGTAAGTGATGGTTTGCTTTTTATAATAGGAAGAAAAATTCTGGAAGTGGGGTATAGGTTTCTTTCTTGTTCCTAGCCACTGGGGATGCCAACTGCTAGAAGTAAGTTCTAGTTCCTCAGTTAATAAACAGAGGAAAGAAAGAAACTCCCTCCATCCTGGCTCCTCCTCATACTGCTGCTTTCTTCCTCCCCACATTTGGCTGTTTTAAAGGAGTGCCCACTCTGACTTGCATATGCACTGCAGTTTGGCTTCCACACTTGAACTTGTATTTGAATTGTTCTTGTAGTACTGTTGAGTCCAACAGACATGCCACGGCTCTTAACTGCCATCTGACCTAGGCTCGTCCCTTGAAACACTTTTGTCCTTGGTTTATTCAGTAATTTCTCTCTAGTTCTCGTCCCTCTCTCTCAAGGCTTTCATCAGTTTTCCTCTTCCACATGCCTTGGAAACATCGTGTCTGCTCAGTCTGTTCTTTTTCCTTCATCTTTGTGAAGATGGAGCAAAATGGCATCTTTTATCCAGTTTCCCCAACTTCCGATAATGGAACTATTATCATTTAGAGTCCTTTATTTGTGTGAAGTGTTATATCTAAATATATATTAATGGCTTTTTTCCAGTTTGTATCTGGTGTAAAGTCTGATTTTAATTTGATAAGAACATGCAAATGACAAATATTAAGTTTATTCATTCACTGTATTCATTAAATATTGGTTGAGTACTAGTCTGTGTCAGGCACTGTCCTGGTTGCCAGTGATAGAGCAATGAACCGAACAGATTTTTTTGCCCTTATGTAATGTGCGCAGCAGCGGCAGCAATGTGCATTCTAGTGGAAAACAGAAGACAGACCAAAGCACATCTCATATCAAAAAGCTTTTGCTTTCAGGTCAGATTCTAAACAGTTAACACCAGCTGCCTGGCAGATATATGTGCATAACATTAAATGTCTTGCACTTTTTTTTTAAAAGATCTATTTTGTTTTTAATAGAAAGTAAGTCCAGATAATCAACATTTGCCATATAATAAAGTCATTAGTATCAAATTAAACCTTGGAAGTTCTGTGTCTTCTAGAGTCCAGTTTGGAAGTACTGTTTTTAGACCCTGGGATTTTAGACCAGAGAGATTAGGATGTGGATATATATTTATTTTAATATATGTTGGAAAGGTCACAAAAAAAATGCTAAGACAAACTAATTGACTTAATACTGTTAAAATATTGTGTGCAAGGTTATTTTCAAGTGACCATGTAATATTTGTTTTATGAAGTGTGAAAAAACTTGCTGATTGTTAAGAACTGAGAAGCCCTGGCCTCACTGACTGCCTCACACACAGGCCGAGCTTTCTAGCCTCTGCATCTTTGTTTCTCTCTTGGCTTGGGAGATTCTGTTTCCATCTGCGGCTATTTCAGTTCTTTCCATCAAGTAGACCTTCATCCACTCCTACAACTAGAATTTGTTTTTCTTTCTCTGCGTTCTTTAACATTTCATCCCTATATTTTATAATACCACAGTCTATCTCGTGCTTTAGTTATTTGTGTTTATGCCTTTTCACCTCTTAAAAGAGCACTTCTCCGTCTTCAAATGTTTATAGCTTCTTTCATATTTTTGGGGGGTATGATTCCTTGCAGGTTGTAAGAGTGCTATATATTAATTGAATTATATTCATTTGTGAACCAGCAAATATGTTATTGGACAAAGAAAAAAGCTAGGCTTAATAAGTCTGTCTCTCTCTCAGATTAAAAATGTGTTACACTCAGCCCGACTGCTGGGAGATGCATCAGTTTCCTTCACAGAAAACTGCGTGGTGGGAATCCAGGCCAACACAGAAAGGATTAGCAAGCTGATGAATGAGTCTCTAATGTTGGTGACAGCTCTTAATCCTCACATAGGTATGTGTTTAAAGAAGAATAATGTCATTTTGAATACATGGTTTAAAAGCTGAGAAAGTTTTAAGAGACTAAGACTACTGGATCAATGTTAGTGAACAACAAATTTCTTTTGAACATTGTCTTAAGACATTTGAAATTGTGTTGAAAGATGCTATATATGTATTATTTATAACCTTTATGGTGTAATATTTCTTTCAAAAAACTTGATTGATTATACTTCATTTTATTTGAAATGTGGCAAGTGCAGAAGTAGAACTTAAAGCTTATTTTACTCTTAATAAAATTAAGATACATTAAATTAAATTCAGATACTAAATGTCCTCAGTAAGGTCACTTGTTGGGACTTGCTGACTAACAACACTGAATGAACTCATTTTTCTACCTTCTCTAGATGCTACTATACTTTTTTTGTTGTTTTTTTATTCAACTCAGAAATGGATTAAATTTTTTAAAAAGGGTTATGTATACATTTCTTATAGAGAAAGGGGGGAAATATTTTGTCTAAAACTGTGGCTTTTGTGTTGCAAGCCTTTTCCAGATTTATAAATATTTCATTATATAGATTCAAACTTGTTAACTTGGATTATATATTGACCATAATGATCCCTGTTAAATACAATATTTTAACTCATAGATTTTGAGGCACTCATTGCTTTATTTGTAATGTGTTAAAAGCCTTTTCTCACCATTTCTTTACTGCTGAGCTGAAGTTATTAATGTACTCTTTGGTTTTGTACATTGGAACAAGTTTTGATGCAGTCTTTTGGTGTGATATGATTACTGTTTTAAAATAGTCTTCAATAATCCTATACTTTCAAGGCTGATTTTATATTCTTGGCTTCATGTCAAGCTATAATTTCAGTCTTATAAAGTTAAGAGCTCATGACTGCTTCAGGTAGCTGTGAGCCCAGTATGCTGTCTGTTTTTGGAATAGTATGAAAATTGTCAGTAATACTGGATTCTTTTGAAATGATTGTACCTCAGCATTCAGCTGGAGAGATGTACAGAGGAACCCAAAGGCTCATGGGAGAAATGTTTCATCATGTTTATACTCCAGAATTTGTTACTAAAATGTTTAAATTAGAGATACTCCTAAAGCAGAATGATTGATAGCTTTCTTAGAGTCAGTTTAATGTGAGGTAAAGGCCGTTCAAGGATAAGTGGGCAAAAGCACACCTGACTGGTGACAAAGCATGAGCCTTACAACTCCACATCATGGGTTTTGATTGTGCTCATTATGTGTAACAGGTGATCGGTAGCCATGTTTTGGGGACTTGAATGAAAACTGAAAGGGTTAGCATAATGCATAGACTTTAATGTCATTATTAATGTTAAAGTATGGAATGTCTAATATTAACCCCAAAGGTTTAACATGAGAATTCTTTTGAAGTTAGTTTGATCAGTAAATGCCCATTTCAACATGTTTAGCATTCAATGTTAATTTTATATTAACTATGTCCATAATGTTTTATAGGTTGATTAATTGATACTATGCGTAACATCTTATATGTGGTTGATAATCACACATGACACATAACATTTTGTAGGTGGTTAATAATTGCACATGACACATTTTTTAAAAATATTAATTATTTGGCTGCACATCTTACCTAGTGGATAATCATTGCAGACTTCTCTTTGTTCATACCCCTCTAATCTTGTTTTTTTTTTCTCCTTCCTTGGTTTCATTTTTGTTAATTTCTCTTTCTGGTTTTTTCCTTTTTAAAAAATTACATTAAATCAAGATAACCAGAATTACCCTGCCTCTATCTTTATTAATTTTAAAAACAAATAACTTTGATGTAAACAGTAGACCTGTGGTCTCTTGCTCAAGTATATGTTTGTACTGAAACTTCCCTACTTGTACTGTGTAACGTCTGAAAAGAGTGCAGAACAGAAAGAGACATTGGAAGCTCTGAAGGTGTATCTCTCCTCAGAGCCCTGCCTGCTCCTCCCTCAGGAGAGGAGAGGACTCTCCTCTCTTTTCCCTCTTAGAGCCCTTTACCTTTACCACAATTCCTGGTCATGCAGTCCTGTATTTTTCACACTGCTGCAGCATTGAGCTTATTAATGCTTTGTAGAATGATAATTATTTTGGGTTAAACATACTGTTGAAACAGCACATTTATACTACCCAGATACATGTTTTTATGTCTTGGTGCCGTGTGTGTGTGTGTGTGTGTGTGTGTGTGTGTGTGTTTGTGTGTAGAGAGAGATGTCTATATGTATATATTTTCCCCCTTGTGAAAATATCTGGATTAGTGAACATTTCAATTTAGGGTCACATCTTATAGAATGTGAGGTATGTGTTACTTAAGAAAAGTAAAGAAAGGTTTTATTCTGTATAAGAAATGACAGCTATCAAGATAACCCACTGCTAAATATTTTTAAGATTAAAAAATGTTTACTTAAGAGGTTGGTAGCATCAAATAAATGATAATGATTACCTCTTGCTTTAGAAAACCCAAGTTTCACTACTAACTCCTGTGTCACCTTTTAATTTTTCTTCAGGGTATGACAAAGCCGCCAAGATTGCTAAGACTGCACACAAAAATGGATCAACCTTAAAGGCAACTGCTATTGAACTTGGCTATCTTACTGCAGAGCAGTTTGATGAGTGGGTAAAACCAAAGGACATGCTGGGTCCAAAGTGATTTAAATAAATTTATAATAAAAATGATTATGTCATATAAAATAAAAAGTGATACAGACTCCTTATATTTCTTAAACAAAAATGGATAAATGTGAAAGAAAATTGCTATTGGACTTGACTATCTCTAGCAGAGCAGTTTGGTTAGTGTATAAAACCCCAGGACATACTAGGTCCAAAATGGATTAAGTGTCAAATAAAATCACTAAATTGTATAAAATCAAAAGGAAAACAGACTTATTTTTCTTTTATCTTAGTTGACATAGTTGAATCTGTGATTTTTGTGTATGGGTGTTTACCATTTCAGATGTTTTGTAAGAGGCATATGAATTTTTAGAGTTTTCATTTTTTTAGTTGGTGTTGTTTTAAACAAATTTTCCTATAGTAAAAAAAATACCTGTGAACTCATTCCCAAGTTATATCTTCAGACATCTTTCATTTTCTTGTAATATGGGAGCATAAGCTGACCAAGCTTCTGGCCTCCTAAGTGAGAATGTAAGTGTATGTGTGTGTGTGTGTGTGTGTGCATGTGCATGCGTATATATAGAATATATACATACATATATATGGTAACAGGCTAGATTAACAAAATTAAGACATATACCTATGTGCTAATTGCACAGCTACACACACACCTCCTGTTCTTATTTGAATTATCATAGAAAGACTGAAAAGATTATGAGTCAAAAACTATAGGACATGGATTAGATTAGAAAGGACAAGGGGTGCAAGCAGGAAGCTTGGAAAGAAAGGGAGGCTGTCATGAAAGAGAGTCTTGCCCATCATCTCTCTGCAACAGTGCGAGGACTTTTCCACAGGTAACTTTAACCTCAGGGAATTTTGAATTAGCAGTTCTAGGGAGATCCAGGTTAAGTTGATTTAAGCTTGAAACTGAAGGCTTCATTTAAAATAGACCCAACCTCAATTATGTAGGGAGTTGGAGCAATTTGGTTTTTTTTTTCCCCCTCCTACATGTATAGAGTCCTGGGTTCGATCCCTGGGTTGGGAAGATTCCCTGGAGGAGGGCACAGCAGCCCACTTGAGTATTCTTGCCTGTAGAATTCCGTGGACAGAGGAACCTGGTGGGCTACAGTCCATGGGGTCAGAAAGAGTCAGACATGACTGAGCGACTAAGTACACACACAAGTATACAGAATTACGAAGACCCACTACTTAAAGCATCTTGTCTGTAAGTAGTATTCTATCAAGTATCTTTAAAAAACAATGGATACTTACCCTTGATATGTATTTCTTGGAAAAATAGTCTTATTAACGCCAACTGCCTAGTGGTATTTAGAGGATAGCATAGATGGCATTTAAAAGCATAATTAAAACTAATGTTAATATGTCAATTGTATCTCAATTTTCAAAAGTTGTAGAAGCATTGTGATGAAAAAATGAAATTACATTCTTATAACTAATTTCTTAGGCCCGAGTGGGTATGCTTTTCATTACTGTGAAAGGGATTTCAAACCATTTAATGAAAGTGTCGAGCCGGTAGATTCTACTTTTAGCCCATGCAGCATTGTTCTCAGCAGTGTTTTTCACATGGTGGTGGTGATGTGATGCTTGTACAGTTTGATTTCCTACAGCCTATTTTGTTTAAAAGGAAAGATTTTTATTGGAAAAAAATCAAACAAAATCAGATTGTACCCGTAACTCAACAACCAGACTGGCAACTGAATGCTATTTTGCCTTAGCAGGCATCCTCAATGTAAACAGGCTGATATTTGAGGGCTCAATGAGAAACATAACCACTTATGTAATAAAGATAACAGCAGATCAAGTTTGTAGCTTCCAACAGTCTCTGTTTGGCTGTCTACTATATGCTAGCATATTATGAGCCATCATTGAAACCTTTGAGCTGAAACCTTTGTGTGATGTTAGTGAAGTTTAAAACACTGGACTTTCTGATGAAATGCAAAATAAGGGTTTTAGAATGCTCTGTGAGAGGGTTGTGCTGAAAATCAACTTCAACTTGTTGTTGAAAAACAACTCGGGATAGTTGTCTCACAAGACATTTGGCAGTGTCCAGAGAAATTTTTGGTTACAACTGAGAAAAGGTGCTACTGGTATCTAGTAGGTGAAAGTCAGAGATGCTGCTGAACATCCTGTAATACACAGGACACCCCTCAAAATCCCCAAGGGACTTTCCACTCCCCAGATGTCAGTAGTGGTGAAACTGAGAAACTTAAACCCCAGAGCTGTTATTTCTGGAGATACTCACCATTCAGTTAGGCTTCACTGCTTGTGTATGTGTATATCTTGGCATCGCAGAGACTTTATTAATTGAAACCCTGAGGTATCTCAGATGTGAGCATGAACAGGAAAGTGTTAATGAACAATTAACTGATCACAGTGCTCACTCCTTGGGATGACCTACTCCCAGCAGGGTGTCCAAAAATTTGTGCTGGATAACCATGATGATGGGGGCGGGGGGGAGTGGTAGTCAAGAATTTGCAAAAATGCCAGATAAATAAGTTTTAAGGTGGAGACAAAATCAATCCATTGACCCCAGTTAGCAGATATAGAGAATGACAGGCAAACAAATTTCAAAGGAAAAAAGTCATGGGACTTAAGAAATGACCAGACTGAAACTACACCAAACTTGCCACGCAGACAAAAGGGAAGTTCATAGAAAGCCACGGGCCAGATTTACTCATTTAACTGTTTTGTCTGGTTGACAGAAAAAAGATGCTTTCACAAGAACTTATAATATTTCATACCCAAGTATATTTTAAAGATCATGCTTCATTATGGCTATGTTATTTGTCTTGCACTGTTCTTTTGTCCTACAGTAGCAAGCAGTATTCGAAAGACAAGTTTAATGTTTTTTTAAAAGATATTAAAAAGATTAAAACTTCTTGATAAGGTAAAATGAATTAGGTTTTTGTTTTTTTTTTTAAGCAAATTCATTAAATCGGCCATTTAGCAACTGGCTTTGAGCAACTAACCTAGAGCTACTTCCATCTGGAATCTGAGTGAGATAAAAGAAGCTGCTGATTGCTGTCTGCCATTTGCGATGCCAAGAGGCAAAGAGTCGAGACCACAATACAACTGTGTGAAGCTAGGCAGTTGAGGACATTGTCTTGGTATCTTCTGGTTAACCTGAGATATCGGCTGACACTTGACCCTGTTCTTCAGAGCTTCCACAGACATAATTATGGCTATCCAGCCACAGGGCAGGGTGCTAGGTACCAAAAGAGCTCATTAAAATCTATTTGCTGTATTAGCATCAAATGTGTTGTTTAGTCGATAAGTTGTGTCTGACTCTTGTGACCCCATGCACTGTAGCCCACCAGGCGCCTCTGTCCATGGGATTTCCCAGGCAGGAATACTGGAGTGGGCTGCCATTTCCTCCTCCAGGGGATCTTCCTGACCCAGGGGTCAAACCAATGTCTCCTGCATTGGCAGGCAGATTCTTTACCACTGAACCACCTGGGAAGCCCCAGCATCAGATGTACTCATTGATAAACCTATGGGATCCAGGATTGAGAAGACCTCTGTATCTAGGATTAAGGGGTAGAAGATAATGAAATATGTTTCCTATATAAAGCCCTACTCTCATAGGTGAGACTTCTCTAAGAATTTGTGGTCAAGTCTGCTTATTTTTTGCCTCAATCAGATGAGAAAGGGATTTAGAATGAAGAATTTTCAATGGAAACTACTTGTTTTCATCAATAATTTGGGGCTATTTATATCAAGACATTTAAACAAAGGAAATCTGAAGCTATAAAAGAGAATGGCCAAGGAAGAGGCAGAAGGAAAAGGAGAAGTAACCACTGAAGGAGATGGATGTGGTCATGGAGGTTAAACGAGTGGCTCATAGATACTCAGGCAGGAGAAGGGGGAAGCTGGTAAATCCAGTGGAGCTCAGCTTCACCTCTGCTGCATACTAGTCATGTTCCTGGCCATCACTTTATAAACCCATTTCCTTATCCTTAAAATGGAGTTCCTGATAACATTGCATACTTACAAAGTACCAAGTGCAATCCCTGCCTCAATTATCTTTTTCAGTCCGCACCCTCTCCCTGAAGAGAATGGACAAAATTACTAAATACCTAACAGATTTTAGAGGTAAAATTGGATTAGCCATTTTTTCCTTCAGGAAGACTGCTCAACCACATAAGTTATAATATTATTCAAGCTGGAGAATTCTGTGTTCCAGTACCAAAGAAGGTGCTAAAATAATTAGAATTGTATAATTAAAACTTTTATTGACCAAATTATTTTTTATCATATTGGTGGGTCTATTCATTGTGCTTCTCGAAACTTAATTTTGAAGATTTTCCCCCAAAATACCAAAAACACAGGTGTATATGTGTACATTAAAAGGCAAATTTTTTTAAACTATTACCTGAACATTAAAAGTGAGAGAAGCAGAGTTAGCATCAGCATTATGACTGGGTGAGACACTCTCTCTCTCCCCTTCAATCTTCAACCAGCAAAGCACTGACAACGAAGGTTTATCTGCCCAATGCCTGGGACCCTGGAGAATTCCACATACCTGTACATCTAAAGGTGGGTAAACTGGAACTCATAGGGGAGGTGGAACCTGGGGACAGCAGAGGCAGTGCCTGCAATCGTGGCCCTCTGATTGCAGCAGCTCAACCTGCCATCCCAGAGAACCTGGTAGCAGCAAGGGAAACTGCACACACAACTGGCCTCCCAGCCACAGTAGCGCCCACAGTCAGATGGATGATGGGGCAGCAGTGGATGTGAAACTGGTGCCTCCAAGAATCTGGTGCCCAGCTGCTTTCCCACACCAGTGCAGCCCATGAACCTGACGTGGCAGAAGGGGCCACAACCCAGGCACCCCCAACCCTCCACTCCTTGTGGTGGCTGAGCCTGTGGCTCAAGAAATGGCAAATGTGACTTAAGTGCCCAACGTCCTGGTACCCCTGGCAGTGATGACAGAGCAAACAGCAGCAGCAAGGCACAGGTGACCCCGGAGCAGAAGCAGCGACCATGAGGATACTGGGCATCAACTCTAAGCAGAGACAGTGAGTGGGTGGAAAATGCTGCTTTTCAAACATAAGTAGTGCAGGGAAAAGAAACCAAACACTTGTGCCATAGCACCACCTTCTGGAAAACTAAAGAAAGGCCTCTAATTTTTAACCCTTTGAATCCTTGAGTGTGTGTGTGCTCAGTCACTCAGTTGTGTCCTAATCTTCACAACCCCATGGGCTGTAGGCCACCAGGCTCCTCGGTCCATGGG